GCCCACTCTGAACCACTGCTTGCTTGACTTCAGCAGCTCAATACTCTTGCTGTATTGTGGCTGAAAAAAATCATCCTATACGACACTGTTTTTTTTAAGACTATTTAATTATTAGTCAATACATCCCACTGGTCCAAAACTGTGTACAGTCTGGCCCTCAGCACAGCATGGGCCAGTCACTCTTTAGGTCAGAGGTGAGCTTCCCTTCTCTGGAAGCCTGTGGCAGCAACTGCTGCTTCTTGCCGGTGGGCTCTTCTCTGCCTGCCATGCACCTGCATGGGCTGTCTGACAGTAGCATCTCCTCGCTGGGCTTCCTGTCCCTCACACACCTGCACAGGCTGTCTGACAGTAGCATCTCCTCGCTGGGCCTCCTGTACCCCCAGCACTTCCCTCCTTAGGCAGATGGGCTTATCCTTCCTTATATCCTGAGGTGCCCATGGCCTTTGTTACACAAACACCCGTCTGTGATATCTCCATTAGAGGGAGTTCTCAGGCTGAAGTCTGAGTTGCTCACAGTGATTTTCTCAGGATCTGCTATGATGCCAGGCAGTACACAATAGCTTTTTTGGAAATGTGTTAGCTGGTGAAGGTTCTAGACTGCATACTAGCCAGGCTGCCCTATCATGCTGTGATCATCACATGACAATTTTATTGAGCTCTAGCTTGGAAACTAGCTCTAGTTCTCTCAGTGGCTTGTACAGCTTAAAGTGCAATTCTTGATGGCATACCCAGAACCAAATGCAGTCTGTGACCTGGACTGCACACACACTGTGAAGCTCTTAAAGTGCAATTCTTGACAGCATGCCCAGAACCAAATGCAGTCTGTGACCTGGACTGCACACACACTGTGCAGCTCTTAGGAACACACTTGGCACTCCGTCATGTTCACTGTCTGGTTGCATCCTATTGTTCTTCAAGGCACAGTCCAGTGGTGTCCCCTACTCTCCCTTACCTGCCACCGTGTGAGCTCTACCTGAGTTCTGTTGTGCTGCTGTGAGCTGCATGTGCCTGCATTCTCAGTGACATTAGTGCTTTTTTTTCCTCCAGTAAAACAAGTCATAATGTTTATAATCCTGCTTTCTTATCAAGAAACAGTAAATCCATGGCTCTGTCCTAGGGCTGTGACTCTTGGAGCACGGGAATCAGGTGCACAGCCAGTTTTCTATAATCCAGGATCAAGACACTGGGTAGGAAACAAAGGCTTGCTAAATGTGTGAACACTTAGGTCAACCCCAGAGTGGGATTAGTTGGCAGGATAATTAAAGCAGGGAATCAAAAAGTCATTTGCAGCAAAGTGGGGTTAGAGCAAAACAATGCTGGGCTCTGGCTGTTGACTATGGCGCCCTAGGCCATGGCTGCTGACCACGGTGCCACTCAAAGCACACTAGCAGGTTCTCCAGGGATTTGATCACTATGATCTTGTAAAATCTTTCTGTCTTTAGTTCAAAATGCTTACTGGAGAACACAGAGGCATCCTGATTGAAGCTGTGTAGCAGAACTCAAGATGGCCTCACAACCCTGCTGTGGGGTGCCAGCCATGCAGGCTCAGTGGAGGTCTTTTACCTAGACCATAGAGGCTCGGGGTCCAGCAACACTGCCAGCTCTGAATAACAAGGTCTGCACAGCTGCCGGGACCAAGTTTCCACAGGAGGAAAAAAAAAAGACTTCCTGAATCAGAAGAAAACCTTGACTACGAAGGCTCTGGGATATGTCTTAGACATGAATGCATGGAGCCAAAGGAATCACCACGGGTTTTACGCACAACACAATTTGTGCCCTAAAACTGCCTAAGGCCAGGTCAGACATGTCCTTGTGGTGACATGTCACAGGTGACATGGTAGAAAACCTCAGATGGCAGAGTCCTGTGTACATATAGTACATGCCTGACTAATTCCCTTCTTAATGGAACACTATAGCCAGCCCTCCTTTGTCTGGTTCTGTCCCTGGAGGTACAGTCTCAGGCCAGAGAGACAGGTTCTCCTGCCTGTCCAGAGTAATGCACAATCCACTGGGAGAAACTGGATGCAGCAAAGACCTGCACACAGTCCTCAGGGTTAAGTCAGATCCACTATGGCCAGATGGTAAGTAGGGACCTAGTTCCTACAGCTGCTCACCTGTGGGAGACAGGAGAGACCCACCCTTAGATGAGACAGCCTCCCTGACATACTGACTTGGGCCTGCCAGACTCTGAGCAGAGAAAACTACTGGGCTGTACCCTGATTCCTGACACACTCCAAGAAAATAAGCTGGGTATGACAGCCATATTTGTGTGGGGATTTGTCACATATCATGGAAAATAAATAAGATGATTTTTATTAAAGGACAGAACTTAAAGATATCTTCAGAAATTCCCCTGGATGTTCCACTAGATGCAGTCATATCAGCAACTGCATATTAGCATTTTATGCATAGCAGCAATGTAAATGTTACAAATTTCACTAAAAGAACTACTATAATGAATTATTAAACAAAAAGGTCCTCTGTTCTATTAAAAAGACTTAAAACCTATTATTTTATCTTAAGGATATTCATTAGTTCATCCCATTTTAAAAAGATCTGTGTAATAAACAGAAACACCATGAGGCAAAAAAAGCAAAGCAAAGAAAGGATATTCTCTGAATGGGAGGATCTGGGCTTGGACGTGGTCTTCACAGACCTGGCGTAGCTGCTTGTAGAGCGTTGGGGAGACTTTGTGAGAACACAGATTTTCAACAGCCTACAACAAAGGGAAGAGGTGGTTGTTCAGTACGAGCACCGCAGCTCTCGGAGAGCCCTGCAGTTACCTACCATCGAGCCATACAGGTGTTCAGGGCACTTGTGCTGCCCACACTGATGGTAACGGCCAACAACAAGGGCTCAGACTGATGGTACGCTTACCCACTATTCCTTGGGGGGTGGGGTGGGACTGGCACCTCAAGTCTCCAGCTTTGCCCTAGTTCAGCTGCTTTCCCATCAGGCTCTCCAACAGTACCAGGACTCTAAAGTGGGTTTGGATCATGTGGCCATTTTCTGATTCTCTAGGTGCAGACGGGGACACATTTATCCTAAAACTGACCCTGTGAACCTGGGCAGTGACAGGAGGGAGCAGAGCCCTTGCTCAGGCACAGCAGACTCCAGTTGTGTGAGTGAAAGACCTGATTCCTGAGTGACACAGACTAGGCCATGCTGATCCCTGTTTATTTACTGATTGCTGATATAGAATTCATTTATTTTGTCTTGATGAAGA